TGTTCAGCATGGCTCTGTGTGATGAGGAGAAGAAATTTCGGCAACAGAGAAAAGATAACATCATGCACAGTATGAAATCGTTTCTAGGAGAGGAAGACAGCAAGAACTTGACCACTTCCCGTGATGTAAGTTTGGAGAGTTCACATCAAGAGTCGTATCACCTGCCTTGTCTCTCTAATGAATGGGACATATGAGGTAGAAGGGTTCCATGTAAAGACAAATGGCAGAAGCAAAAAAATTTCTTTTTTCTCTGTGCACTTACAGTCTTTAGAATGGAGAGTAATTTTTCTTGTGCTCTACATTTATAGATTAAAGTTCAAGGAAACAAAATCCTGTGCCAAAATGAAGCTTCGCTTAAATAAGTTTTAAGACTCCATTATGTGCAAAAGGACAAGACTGCGTAAATGCCATCACAGAATAGAAATCACAGCTTTTCTTTTGCACTGGCACCTTAAACAAACTGCTGTAACTGTTTCCTGGTTCTCTATTGTTTTATTCCTTGGCAGGCTGTGCCTAGGTTAAAATTGGGTAAAGGAGATAAATCCATGCTTTTCATTTTGCTCTGATTCTGAATTCCATCCTTTGTTAAGGTGTTGGTTCTGAGCTGAGATCGTCATCTGAAAAACGCCTAAAGGCCATGTGGAATATGGGCTACAGGCAAAGTGTGCGGTGGCTCTGGGCACGCACCCAGCTGCAGAATCTGCCCTTGCATGCTGGATATCCAGCCTCTGCTCTTCAAGTGGCCTTGGCTGTATGGCCTTCGTGTCTAAAGGATTAGGCAGGAAATGAGGTATTTTAATGTTAGAGTCAGCGTAGAAATTCTTTTCTTTCCTTCCTTTCTTCTTTAGCCCATTTTACAGGATTAGGGTTATGAAGTTTATCCTTAGAGAATGTGAGAGACTGCAGCTTTCATTGACTGGCTGGAGCTCTGTACCAAGGCAACAGAAAGTCAAGCCAGCAGATCTAGATGTGGTTTGGGTCACATCAGAGTGAGGAAGGGTGCTGAACCCTACTGATCATTTCATTGAATTCATAAAACACTGCATTATTTTGAGTTAATTAAGGATACACTTGATACAGATCCACTTGTTTTGTAGTAGCTTTTCCATCCTCCTCTTTCTTCCTTGCTTGGTCCTCATCCTGTTTTACTCCCAGAATTGTGACAGGAAGACTGTCTGTATGTCGGGGGTGTCATGCAATGAACAGAGTCAATAAATTAATCTGGGTTGATCGAGTCGTTTCGTGCTTTTAGTATAAGCAGAATGTGACAGTCTTTTGCAGAAACCGGAACCAACACTGAAGAATTCCTTTTAAATTTCTATGAAGTTTTGAGCAGGTGGTAAATGCATTATTGTATGCTTTTGAGCTCTGTCTTGCATAGTAAACTGTGCTTGTGCGCACTTTCTGAAGAAGATGAAAGAATTTGACAAGTATCGTACATATTTTATTTGTAGAGCTATAAATTGTGCGTATTGTGAAGGAACATTTTCAAGGTTTTTTAATTTTCAGTTCAGTTACTTTAATCTTTACACATTCTTATCAGAATAGATATTTGTGGATGTGACATTAGTCTGATCTTCAACAGCAGAATAATATCTTTCTCAGAAAGGATGCAGATATTTTGCAAAGATCCAGTCAGGACTGGAGTGATATTCAGTGCCTGAAGTATCAGTTCTATGCAGGTGGTATGTTTGCATGAATTATTATAAACGCTAGGCAAGATTTTGTATTCTTTTCGTCATCGTCTTCCCTTGGTATCCATCACTGTCTCAAATACTGGAAGTTTGTTAGTTAAATTGCATCTTCCAAGACCAGACAGTAATCTCTAATTGTTGGCTTATCAACCCTAGGAAGGACTGAGGTAATGCGATCCTCCCATTTTTCACATGCCAAGTGTGTGTTTTTAAGCTGACTTGTCAGAATTTTTAGCTGCTTCTAGCACTGAAAAAACCCTTTTTGTTCAAATTAAAATATAGTTTTGTCCTTATAGCCTGTCATTTTTACTTTTATTGCTACAGATGGGAGATAGCAGGAGGATTTATAGGATGTTTATAGCCTTAACATGGGATCAGAAGTTGGGAGACATTAATAATGAGTATTCTTGGCTGTCTATCTTGTTTAATCTTAAACAAGTCACTTACTTACTTACTCAAAGTTCACCTAAGTTTCTTCACCTGTGAGTAGCAGCACACGTGCCTTGCAGGGATGCTGTGGGACTTTAATACCTGTGAAATAATTATACATTCCTGGATGGGGAAGTGAGTACTTCCAAATTTCCTTACTTAATCTTGGGGCACGTTCTGAAAACACAGAGGATGAGATTTCTCGTACCTGTGTTATTGCTCAGTTTATTTTTATAGTTTTTGTTGCTTGAAACAATTTTCTAAAAATACCATAATCAATTAAAGAAAGGATAGAGTTCTCTAAGACTGGATTTACAAAACAATTTTTTAATAATCATCTGTGTACCCCATGGCAATTTTGTTTCCACCACAGGTATTCTTGTCCAGATTTTGTGCACTGTGTTTTCGGAGCATTTGGATAAAAACATCTACACCACTCATTCCCAAAACAAGATTTAATATGTTTTAGCTTTTTTTTTTTTTTTTGCCAGATTACTGGAAAATATGGTTGAGCTCGCTTTTCCTAAAACATATCTTGTTTCCCAAATCCTTTTCATTTTCCTGCCCAGTTTGGTGATGAAGCAATCAGCATGTGTTGAGATGAGGCGCCCATTACTGAAGTGGAACTGTGCGGTGCTGAGCCTGTCCACACAGTACAGTGCCCCACGGATCCTAGAAACAGTACAGACGTATTGACAAAACACTTCATCTGTGTTGTTCAGTGGAGTTTGTTTGGATGACGTCTAAGCTGGTTTGTTCAAAACTAGCTTGGGTCCCTCAGCATTGTGCCGTGTGGAGTGACTATAGGAAAAACCAAGCCATGGCTGTTCGGTTGCTCAGAAGTGGGCACAACCGTATAGAATTGAGTGTGGCAGTGTGGCCAGGGATTAGACCAATGGGCTTTTGTCTCCAGGGCTTCTGAATTCAATTCACAGTTTTGCTGTTGACTCACTGCATCACTTTCTTGTGAGTCACTTAAGCTTTTGGTCTAAGTTTACTGATCTGTTTGAATGGGTTTATTACCTTTGCCCCAGTTTTACTGATTATCTACAAAGGACTTTGGGTTCAGAGTGCCTCAAAGAGTGGAGTGCGTCAGCCCCAGACTGTGTACCTGGAGAAGCGTGCACGATATCTTTTCTCCATTCTTTCTCCATCATGAGCTGGCTTCTTGGTTCTTTTCCCTTTGTACTCTGTCTGCAGCTACTGCCCCCCTGCCTCTGCCCTATTTATCCTTGATGGCACCTTGTAAGATGGGTGTAAGTAGTCTCAAATTTTGCCAATTCTTGCCCTTAAATGTGTTGGAAACTGAATTGCAGCTAAAAAGCTGCTTTAACAAACCTACTTGCTTGGAAATGTGCTCTACCTTCCTCTGCAAAGCAGGAAAGAACTCTTAACCTTCATCACCTGACTTATGCCTACAAGTCAACTTGTATTCAGTTGTCTGAAATAAATGAATGTAAATGTGCAGTAGATGCTTCTCTTCAGTTATTTTTTCATCATTTAAAAGCTTTATTTGCTGTGGGAAGCTTAGTTAAGCTATGCCCTCTACTCTAGAGCTCTCTAGTCAAATTTCATTTCTGGAAATAAAGTAGTGATTGCAACTCTTCATATCCTGCTCTGGTATCAAGTGGAAATTAAGAGATACTATACATACACGTACTTCTCGGTATACCCATCTTCCCCCAGTATAGGAATCTATAAATCCCATAATTCCTGTGGATTAAGTATGCAGGGAGCATTCAGTGTAAGGATGCTAGTGACTCTTCTCGACATTCTTTATTGATCCTGCTTACAGATTTCTCTGCATCCTGAAGAAAACTCAGATTTTCCCTTGTGCTCATGCCACTGCACTGATGAAAAGATTTGTTGAATAGAGGTGCTTTGGAAGTGTTCTCACATACTTTTTCCAGGCTTGCACCTGCAAACCACTGTCTTCATCCTGTTGGGATTTGTCTCTGTAGGTTAATTAGGTGGTGTTTGTAAAGAGCTTTCAAAGCCTAATGTACATTATTAAATTTGTGATTAGTAATGTGGCTCTACTGTTCAAAGCAACTGCTCCGTTATTGGGGTGTTGGCTTAACAAAACAGGCATGTCCTAAATCTTTACCTTTGTTTTGTCATTTTTTGATAGATAGCTATCTCTGGAGGTTCATGATGAATGCTGATGCCAGTAAATACCTGTGGTTTCTATTACTAAAGCTTAACACTTATGAAGATAATAAAATAATATTATTGCATGAAGAATAAGCAGTTTTTGTGGTATGGAAGCCTCAAGAAATGTCTCAACATAGTTGGTCATTGTGCATGGTCATTTCCATGTGACTGTGTGTTTTCAGTCCTCAGGGGAGTTTCATGGGTTGGAGTGTGGAGACTGCAGATAGAAACTGAACTCAGTAGTCACATGGTTTCTTTTCTTATAACTAATCCCGTCTATTGGCACCTTAAATTGCATTTCAGTGAAATTTTTGACTGATTACCAGTTTGATCAGATAGGGACTTTCTGCACAACTATGTAATTCTTTTTATGCTTAGTAAAAACCAAGACATTGTTACCTTATCACCATTGAACAGTGGAAAATTCTTCTAGGTTTCGGAAACTGGAAACCAGGTGGGACCTTTGCTGAAACACTTGCTGATGGTAGCAAGTTAATTTTTAGAAGCACAGAATCATAGAATATCTTAAGTTGGAAGAGACCCATAAGGATCATCGAGTCCCACTCCCTACTCCTTGCAGAGCCACCTAAAACTAAACCATATGACTAAGAGCATCTTTCAAATGCTCCTTGAGCTCTGACAGGCTTGGTGCCATGACTACTTTCCTGGGGAGCCTGTTCCAGTGAGCGCCCTCTCAGTGAAGAACCTTCTAATGTCCAACCTGAACTTCCCCTGACACAACTTCATTCCATTTCCTCATGTCCTATGGCTGGTCACCAGACAGAGGAGATCAGCACCTCCCCCATGCTGTCGCCCTTGAGGAAGGTGTAGACTGCGATGAGGGCACCCCTCAGCCTTCTCTTCTCCAACATGAACAAGCCAACTGACCTCAGCCACTCATCCTAAGTCTTGCCCTTGAAACCCTTCAACCTGGTCACCCTCCCCTGGACACACTCTAACAGTTTGATGTCCTCCTTGTACTGAGGTGCTCAAACCTGCACACAGCACTTGAGGTGGGGCCGTACCAGTGCCATGTAGAGAGGGACAACCACCTCCCTCGACCGGCTAGCAATGCTCTGCTTGATGCACCCCAGGACACCACTAGCCCTTTTGGCTGCTGGGACACACTGTTGACTCCTGTTCAACTTGCCATCAACCCAAACCCACAGAGCCCTTTCTGTGGGGCTGCTCTCCAGCCTGTTGTCCCCCAGTTTGTAGGTATAACCAGGATTACCCCATGCCAAGTGGAGAATCCAGTACTCACATTCTATACAGCTGGTGATTGCCCAGCTCTTTAGTCTATGCAGATCTCTCTGTAAGGCCTCTCTATCCTCAAGGGAGTCCACAGCTCCTCCTAGTTTAGTATCATCGGCAAACTTACTTCACATACATTGAATTCCTGCGTCCAGATCATTTACAAAAGCATTAAAGAGTGCTGGCCCTAACATGGAGCCCTGGGGAACCCTGCTGGTGACTGGCCACCAGCCTGATGTCACCCCATTTACTGTAACTCTTTGAGCCCAACCGGTCAGCCAATTGCTCACCCAACGTAGGGTGGACGTGTCTGGCTGTGTGCTGGGTGTTCTGTCCAGAAAGATACTGTAAAAGACAGTATCAGAAGCTTTGCTAAAATTCAAAAACCTCAGATCTGCTGGCTTCTCTTGGTCAACTAGATGGGTGACCTTGTCATATAAGGAAATTAAGTTGATTAAGCAGGACTTTCCCTTCGTGAACCTGTGCTGGTTATGACTAATGACTGCAGTGTTTTTCAGTAGCTCCCAGAATAACCTCCTCCATAATTTTATCAGGCACTGAAGTGAGACTGACAGGCCTGTAAATACCAGGGTCTTCCTTCTTTCCCTTCTTGAAAACTGGGATGGCATTGGCCAGCTTCTAGTCAGCTGGAACCTCTCCAGACTCCCAAGGCTGTTGAAAAGTAACGGAGAGAGGTCCTTGTTGTGTTTTAACCCTGTCTGGCAGCTGAGCCCCACGCAGCTGCTCACTCACCACCCCCGGTGGGACAGGGGAGAGAATTGGAAGAGCGAGAGTGAGAAAACTCCTGGGTTGAGATAAAGACAGTTTAACAGGTAAAGCAAAAGCCACACACACAAGCAAAGCAAACCAAGGCATTCATTCCCCACTTCCCATGGCAGGCAGGTGTTCAGCCATCCCCAGGAAAGCAGGGCTCCATCACGTGTAACGGTGACTTGGGAAGACAAACGCCATCGCTCCGAACATCCCCCTCTTCCTTCTTCTTCCCCCAGCTTTATATATGGAGCATGACGTCATATGGTATGGAATATCCCTTTGGTCATTGGGGTCAGCTGTCGTGGCCGTGTCCCCTCCAGCTCCTTGTGTACCCCCCGCCTCCTCACTGGCAGGGCAGTGTGAGAAGCTGAAAAGTCCTTGGCTGCTTGGCAACAACTAAAACATCAGTATGTTATCAGCGTTATTCTCATTCTAAATCCAAACACAGCACTAACCAGCTAACTAGCTCCTTCAGCAGCCCAAAGTCTGCTCTCCCCATAGGCAGGGTTGAGGTTTTGCTGGCAGTTTTTCTTCTATCACTATCTTGTTTTATTTTGCCTTCTTTCTAGATACTTGAAGACATTATGCAGTGGAAGGGAACAGTTTTGAATTCAGGGCTGTGAAAGCTGGGAAGTAAGAAGGAACAGAGTGCAGAATAACCCCCTTGTAGATATGTTTCCAGTATGGTGTCACTTGTAACTGGCTCTGCTTTTGCTTGCTTTGCTATCTCTTGGTAGCTGAGAAGGTGTACAGATACACATAAACTCTCCTTACCTCTCCTGTAGTTTTTGCAAGGTAGTTGTAAATGTGAGACTGTCTTCATACTATGTAGCAATATCAGATGTTTTTATTATAAAAGATGTTTTTCAACTCCTAGCCAAAATATTGTTTGTCTCTCTTCTGTTTCTGATCAGTAACTTTTACTGCTTTTGGCTCCGTCACAAAGCTAGCATATGGGTTAAAGCTGGTGTTTGGATTGCTGTAAAAATTTCTGTGGTTTTGTAACTAAATAGTTTATTTAAAAACTAAATTTAATAATGTCCTGGTTTCAGCTGAGAGGATTGATTTTTCTTAAGTACTGTTTTGTTTTGTTTTGTCTTGTCTTCCCCTCTCCCTTTGCAATCCTAGTAAACTGTCCTTATACCAACCCACCAGGTCTTGTCTTGCCCCCTCCCCCCCCCCCCCCACGGGGGGGGGGGGGGGGGGAAGGGAACAAGCGGCTGCGTGGTGCTCAGCTGCCAGCTGGGGTAAAACCACGACAAATATCTTCTCTATTTTGGATTATAGATAAGAAGGACAGACATTCTAAATTAATTTTGAGTATATTTTTATTTAGAAATTTTACTCAAGTGACGACTTCTTCAAATAGATTCTAATTCTTCAGAAAGCAGGCAATTAGAGTTCTAAGTAACAGGGCACTGTGGGGGCAGCAACTTGCTAATGCCGAGACTTGACATGGTTTATTCACTCACTTTGTAGACCTATTGGTTGTAGGTCTGAAGCAATGGCACGAATCTGTGCGAGTGAACTGAAGTTCTATACATCATTTCAGTAGACAGGAAGCTAAGGAGGGTCGTAATGATAGTATTTGACTTTCACTATCTAGATATTTTTTATTATTTGACCTGAAGAATCAGAAAAATCAGGCATTACCTTTCTGCGCCTGTAAGGATTCTGCGCAGCGATGATATTGTGCCCTATTAGCAATAGTATTGGATAAAAAATACAATATAACAGAGTCGTAGAAATACTGTTTGGAAGGGGCCTGTGGAGGTCAGCTAGTCCCAGTGGTCCCTGGAAGGTGTGCTATTGCCAACAGTCAGTTTACGCGCCCTTTTTGCCCACCTGTCTTCCCAGCCTCCTCCTAGCCGTGGCAGTACGCCAGGCGTGTGTGCTGTCCCACCAAGTCTGTGCTGTTCTGATTGTGTCATAGGCCTGTGACTGCACTTGAGCTTCCATTTTTTCTTCTTTGATGTCTCTGTGCATCCATATAGAGACATTTGAGGTAAGCGTCTGGACACTCCTCCTTCCCAGCAGGAACATGCAGGTCTCACTGCTGGCTTTCTCCCATACATTCCTCCTGCATTTGAAACATTTGCACCCTTCACTCGCTTAAGTCCCCGTCGTTGGAGTTAGTCTAAAGTCTTCCTCACTAAATTAGCAATTCTGTTCATGAAGGTGTTCCTCACTCCATTGGTCAGGTGGATTCTTTATTTTCCCATGGAGCATCTTCATCAGCAAGCAAAGCTTCATTTCAAGAAGCCAAGAGTCTCACTAGTGACACCACCTGAGCCTGATATCATCTGCTTGAGCCATTCCTCTTCCAGACTAGAAAGATCAAGTCCACAGGCAACAGCCTTGTGCGCCTGTGCCCCCCGTTCTTGCTCCAAGAAGGGACAAAGCACCTCCCATCTGCTCAGGGTCTCCCCTACTTGTATCACTTGCCCACATGGATGAGCAGCGAGGAGTAGCATCTGGAAGGCCAGGTGAGACTCAGCCATTTCTCAGCGCTGTCATGGATCTGGAGTCTGGGCAAGCAGCAAAGCTCCCTAAGCAATCACTCTGCCACTGTCGCTTGTCACTTTGCAGCACTGTTTCTTATCCAGTAACCTGTGATATCTGGTCCAAAATGCTCCCTGACAGCATTTTTTCCTCCTCTGTCACCAGAGCTGCAGGTGGAAAGGGACACTTCTCTCACTGCCAGAAGTAGCAAGCTTACAGCTCCCTCTCTCCTGGGAATTCATGCTTTCTTCCTGCCCTTGTGTTGCCTCAGTCATATCTTCCTTCTCGTCTTGATGGGAACTAGACGCATTTAGTTTCCCTTTATATCCCTGCATGCCAGGTCCTTTGTTACGTGCCATCTGTTTGCACCTCCTGGTTGCTAATGCTCCCTAGGTACAAGGTAAATAGGAAGCTGGAAGGAAGTCTGCTCTGCCGCTCCATGAGTTTTCCACCTTGGCAGAATCCCTCATGCTGTCAGCTGGTTCCTGCCTTCCCTCGCTTGTGATCAGTAGTGCTCTCCTCCCATGCTGCAGTCCAAAAGTACTCCTGCCCTCCAGCTCTTCATGAAGCAGAAGGGACTGAGTAAATAACATACAGATATTGTACATCACTCTTGGGCCCAGAGAACCTGAGGGGGGCAGGTAACTTCATTATGGTGCTGTTCCATTCTACATGCAGTGTTTAAAAGTCATATGTCAAAGTGTTTATTAAAGTATTTTGCCGTTCTCTTACACATGTACCACTAAGAGACTGCAGAACACCTTCTTTTTGGCTTGTTAGAACTTCTGTGCACAGGTTTGGAAAAACAAGAGGTTTCTTCTGTGCTGTGAGATCTCTGGATGGTGACTAATTAATTGCACAAGGCTGGTATGTTTTCCAGTGATTGATGAATAACATTTATTTTACTACTTTTAAGTCTATTTCAGAATTGGTGTGGTGATTATGTTCTTCTCATCTCTGCAGGTACCAGTGATAGCAATATTGGGTTCAGGAGGTGGATTTCGTGCCATGGTAGGGTTTGCCGGAGTCATGAAAGCACTTTATGAATCAGGAATTTTAGACTGTGCGACTTACATTGCTGGTCTCTCAGGATCCACGTGGTAAGCGTTTTTTCTTTTGTTTTTCTTCAGTTAACGAATTTTCATGAGAGTTGACTTACTTCTAAGGTTATAATTCACAGCAAATTTTACGCATACACCATCAGTACGGAAAAGACATATGGAGACAGCTGCCTTGTGGCATAGCAGGTCAGTGGGGCAAGTCTGCTGGTGGAGGCGTTTCAGAATGCCTCGACTGGTGAGGACAGCTCAGTCTCCAGGTGATCTTCCTAGGAGCTTTGATAGCAGGAACAGATGAAAAGAGGTGGTACTCATACGCACCCATGTTTCTGTACCAACAGCCAACACTGTACGTACGAGGACAGTGTAACTGATTCCTTCATCTTGATAACCAAAACCTTAAGAATTCAAGCTGTAGTTATAAATCCAAAATATTTTTTGTGTTGCTTTATTTTCCTGATGAAATGGGGAAAAAAAATCCTTGCAATTTGAAGATCGTGACTCATTCAACCCCAAATGGATTATATTATTCTCAAAATCACTGAAAGGTCTTTTGCTCCAATTTAGACTCACTAGTCCCTGTAGTGGATTTACCAGGGATGTCTAGGACCTGTTCACCGATTCTTAGTGTAAGGAGATGTGAGCAGATGTATTTCGGCTTGTAGGAAGCAATATGGACTGACTGCCATGCTGCAGGGCATCCTGCTGTGGATTCCCTTGTATCACTCCTGTTGTCACTGTTTAACTTAGAAATTACATTGTTTTTTAAAAATAGTTTGTTAGTCAGATGAGAGAAAAGATCTTCCATGATGTCTCAATTAGAATGCCATAATCAGGTAGTTACGATGTCCTCCTGTCTGACTCAATGAATCCACTTTAGGGCCACCTAGTACAAGAAAGGTGTTGACAAACTGGATTAATTCCATCAGAGTGCCGCCTAGGCAACTGGGGGACTGGAGCACATGAGAAAGTGAGGCAGCTGGATTTGTTTAGCCTTGAGGAGTAGGCAAAGGTAGTGGTGGGGGGAGATCTTATTGTTATCTTCACCCACCTAATGGGTAGCTGTAAAGAAAAGAGACTCTTTGGAGATGCACAGAGAAAGGGCAAGGGGAATGGCTATTAGTTCCAGCAAGATAAAGTTGATTAGCTGTTAGGAAAAGAATTTTGCAGTGAGAGTGGTCAAACACAGGAATGCATTGCCACATCCTTACTTGACTGGGCTGGGTAAGGTGTCATCCTCTCTCTGTCTGACTCAGTGAATTCTTAATGTGAAAGTGGAACTTGACTGAACAAAGCCCTGAGCAACCTGATCTGACTCTTACGTGTGCTCTGCACTGAGCAGGAGGTGGGAATAGAGACCTCAAGGTTCCTTCCAGTCTAAATTATAAGATTATATGAATATCTCATTTCTTCGAGAGTAAGGGAAAAAGACTTTTGTTGGAATAGCTAAATATAAATGAGCAGGGAATCTCCCTGGGATGAATTGTATCCCCTGGTTTAACTCTGAGGAAGCACATGAATTTTGGTTCCACACGTTGTAAGGAAATACTCTAACCCCAAAGTTGCTAACTCTTTTGAAATAGATAATGATCTGTTCTATTCCTTGTGGGGTTTTTTCACTTGTGTGAAGTTTAATTCCCCCCTTCCAGACTAGATAGAAAGCTTTTAGAATGCCAGAAGGTTTTGAAACGCCGCAAGTGTCTATGAACTAGAGTAAGTTTCTCATTTGGATTGAATTACAAAAGTCTGGCATCCCTGGAACTTGCATTTTCTATCACGAGTTGTTTGGGGCATCAGATTTAGCACTCTCTGTTGAGAAGCTTTTAGAATGCCAGAAGGTTTTGAAACGCTGCAAGTGTCTATGAACTACAGTAAGTTTCTCATTTGGATTGAACTACAAAAGTCTGGCATCCCTGGAACCTGCATTTTCTATCACGAGTTGTTTGGAGCAGCAGATTTAGCACTGTCTGTTGAGGGACCTGGATGCACTTTTGTCAAATTGCAAAAAGTAGCAGATGTCATTTGGCTGGATGAAGAGCAATTGAATAGTGCAACGCAGTGTGAAAAATTTTCACTGTGTTCCTAGGGAATGGTGTGTAGTCCATGTTCTGAAAAGACGTCAGTCAGCTGGCCATGAGGTCCTTTTTTGGGAAAACCCAGGTGTGAATACATAGTTGATCTAATGTAAACCTATAAAATCTGTATTAAATAGCAAGATTAGCTGGACTGATTCAGTCAGGAATGTATGTTGGAAACAGCTGTATTTAAACAAATTTGCTTTTGCTGTCTTGGTAATGTCACCTATTCAGACTTTCCTTGCTTGATGAATAAATAAATTGACACTTTGGCACTCCCTTTCTTTTTTTCCATGCAGTCTATTGCTTGGGAATAATTCTATTCTTTCTCTTTTTTTTTTTTTTCCTTGTTTCTTTTTTGAAGGGTGGAGAGTTCCTTTCCTGCAGGGAGAGGCAGGTTTTTGCTTGTTCGCTCAGATGCATGCCTAACCTTGGAGCAATGCATTTACCTCCCTGATCGTTTCTGTCATCTTGCTTCAACCTTGTACTGAATTCTTCATCCTGCATTTTCCTTTCTCGTCTCACATGGAAGCTTTCTGCTGTGTTTGTTCCACTCACCAGCTGACGTGCATGCTAAGCTTTAGAGACTGCACAAGGACTAATGAGTCAAATTCTAACATCATGCATGTGATGGGGTTCATCATGCTGTCAAGTGAATGGCTGGGCAACGATGTCAGGGCCAAGCTTACACAGCGTATACCTCACTGCTATGCAGAATGATGCCTGCAGTACGGTATGTATACCTGAGCCAGCTATTTGAATAAATAATAGTGAAACGAGCGTCTAGTAGATGAGGACGGCCTGCCTTGAGTCTTTACTTGAGCATTACTTAAGCCAAACAAGCACAAACCGCAGTTGTCTGCATGTGTGTCTAAACTTTTTTTTCAGTGAACAAAACCTCAGTTTCCAGAGTTAGTGACAAAATCAAGATTTGCCTGATAGGCCTCTTCTGAATTCTCGGACTCAATTAAATCTCTGCGCAGGTTGTAGTTATTGTGCTTCATCTTATTATGAAAACCTCTAGAACCTGGAAAGCATGACATATACTAATACACATTAGGAATTTTTGAATAGTAATAATGAACTGGAGAGTGGCAGAGAGATACATCTCAGAGTGAAGGAACTGCATGTGTATACTTATAGGACCTCCAGTCTGCAAGTTTAGGTGCACTCTGACCCTTGAAAAGCTGTTTTTTCAGCTTGTGATGATTCTGGCTATTATTGAGAGCTGCCCTGAGGAGGACTTGGGGGTGTTGTTGGATGAGAAGCTTGGTATGAGCCAGCAGTGTGCGCTTGCAGCCCAGACAGCCAGCCGTGTCCTGGGCTGCATCACCAGCAGCGTGACCAGCAGGTCGAGGGAGGGGATCCTGCCCCTCTACTCCGCTCTGGTGAGACCCCCCCTGCAGTGCTGCGTCCAGCTCTGGGGGCCCCAGTACAGGAGAGACATGGAGCTGTTGGAGAGGGTCCAGAGGAGGCCACGAAGCTGATCCAAGGGCTGGAGCACCTCTGCTATGAGGACAGGCTGAGAGAGCACCTTTCCTATGAGGACAGGTTGAGAGAGTTGGGGTGGTTCAGCCTGGAGAAAAGGCGGCTCCGGGGAGACCTTAGAGCCCCTTCCAGTCCCTGAAGGGGCTCCAGGAAAGCTGGAGAGGGACTGGTGACGAGGGCAGGGAGTGACAGGACAAGGGGAATGGCCTGGAGCTGCAGGAGGGGAGATTTGGACGAGATGTGAGGCAGAAATTCTTTACTGTGAGGGTGGTGAGGCCCTGGCACAGGTTGCCCAGAGAAGCTGTGGCTGCCCCTGGCTCCCTGGCAGTGTTCAAGGCCAGGTTGGATGGGGCTTTGGGCAACCTGGGCTAGTGGAGGGTGTCCCTGCCCATGGCAGGGGCTGACCCCAGATGGGCTTTGAGGGCCCTTCCAACCCAAACCCGTCTGGGGTTCTGTGATTCTTTGACCCCTTAGACAGATAAATGAGGAACACTTTAATATTTTACATCATGCACATTATGGAAATGTACGTTGAGTGTTTGATTGTATGCTTACATTTAGAACAAATTGTTTAGCTTTCTTTGCCTTGAGAAAAAAGAAATCACAATTTTCTTCACAAACAGTGAGTAAATTAGTCTGATTTAATCAGTAATTGTATCAAATTATTTATGAGCTTATTGTACACTGCAGGCAGCTGACATCGAACCATGCTTTGATACTTACAGAGCCTATTTTCCATTGCAGGTACATGTCAACTTTGTATTCACACCCGGATTTTCCAGAAAAAGGACCAAAGGAGATTAATCAAGAATTGATGAACTCCGTGAGTCACAACCCACTTTTGCTGCTCACTCCTCAGAAAGTCAAACGCTACATTGAAGCACTATGGAATAAGAAAAGCTCAGGGCAGCCTGTCACCTTCACAGATATCTTTGGAATGCTAATAGGCGAAACACTTATCCACAATGTGAGTTCATTTTTTAATGATTATTAGAGTTGTGAAACTACTGCATAACAATTGCTGTTAGTTGGGTTTTTTTTTTTAAATGACCTTGGTAACATTTAACAAATCATGTTTAGCAATAGGGCTAATTTAAGTTATAGCTGAACAGATACTGGATAAGAAACATATAAAATGCTTTCCTTGCTGCGGGACACGTTTCTGAATGGTACTCATTTCTTTAGGAGCTAGGAAGACATCATGCATTCATGTGCAACAGAAATGAACTCAACTGCTGGGTACTTGCAGCAAGCTCTTAACATTGTTTTTTGTCCATTAAAATTGCTGCTCAAGCCATTTCAACAAAAAAATTACAAAATGAGGTAACCTCTTTATACATGTTTTGCTATAAGAAAAGCAGCATTTGCTTAACAAAACACTAATTTCAAGATGAAAGATCCACATCTCTGTTTATTATTACTTCTTTTTCTTAAAAAAGAGATAATGGGAGGGCTTCGTACTGTTGTATTTTATTATTGACAAATCCTAATTGACTGAATCAGGCACACAGACTTCCAGTTCACATGAGTCAGGTGAGCAGAATTTGGATTTGATCTTATCGTAAGTTTGAAATGCGTTAATAGATTCACAGACTTGCTTGATACACTTGTATCTTTCACAAGTACACTTTGCTGTTAGGTTTTAAACACTCTAAAATACTGAAAACCAGCAGCACAGCTTTTAGTAACTGTGATACATAGCATGAGTTTCTGATTATGAAGGGATGTTAATGATCTGTGAGGTTGGTTAGAAGTCCCTGTTTGCTAAGGAGTTAAATGCCCAGATGTTTAGGTTAAATCTGAACCTGACACAATCAGCTAAAAATGGAAATAGGGCTCTTGGTTATTCACAGACAACACGTCTTTGTACTATTATGTCATAATGACTTTCAGTCTGTCTTGATTGCAGACTCCAGAATATTTTCTGGGGGAGATGCAGATCCTTGGTTAGCAAATGTAAGCCTCCTGATAGGCCATTTGCTTCTCTTAGTTATCTTTGCTGACTTTTCAGAAACAGCACAATTGAAAATCATTACATGATCATTAATGGCGGTTCTGCCTGAGAGGTTTTTCCTTGTTTTCATCTTTACAGTGGCAGAGGAAAAGAACTTGCTTTGTCCAGCAATTCTGTTTGCTTTTTTGGCCATATTATTTTGGATTCTATAACACATGCTTATTTCATCTTCCTGTCGTCTTCTCCCAGTCCTTCCTTCCTGAACCGTGTATCTAAAAGGTATTCAAGAAGGTGATTTTCTTTTACAAGTTCTTCTGTTCTGTTTTCTTTGGAAGTAACTGAGTTAGTCCATTTCCCTTCTCTTTGAGGATTTCAGAGAAATGAGTAGTCTCCCAAATAACGGCAGGCCTTTATAAGATCCGTTGGGACATAATGTCTTTCTTTTCCTGCAGAGAATGGACACCACTTTGAGCAACATGAAAGACAAAATCAATAACGCACAGTGTGCTCTCCCACTCTTTACATGTCTCCACGTCAAACCAGATGTCTCAGAGCTGATGTTTGCAGGTATGTTTCAGTCTCTGCATTGAGTCACTTGTGAAGAGACAAGTGCGTGGCTGGAAAAAGGCCTATTTTTTTAATACTTGTGAGACTAATTGTGTCTTGCAGCTTGGTACACATTGAAATTATTAGTTTTATGGCTTAGGATTAGGAAGGAATTAGCCATGATATGAAACATTCTTTGAGGATTAACAAAATTTGCATTGTTACAAACTAAGTACAGGGAGATTTAATTCATAGAAAGAACAGGAAGTTGGAATGTTGAAGGATATACCACATGGGCACATCATAAAGGCAGTTCTGATGCGTTTTAAAAGGTGATGGGGGAGCAGACACATTTGTGTTCAGCAGTTTCTGGGAATCTGACAGTGGAGTCTAATAACAAGAAGTTGCTCAGGGATAAGTGATCCTTCACTAAGGTAGGTGGATACTTACCCGATTGGTGCAGTGCTTGCACCAAGGTCACGGGGTTGTGGAGAACAGGCGTCAAATAGGCATATTCCTCATGGATACCATGGAACTGAGCCTTTTCTTGGCTTTTAAAATGCATCTTTTCCTGTCCTTGGAGAGACAGACAGACTGTATTTTAGGTCAACAGCCTTTTATTTCTCTCTTTTTTTTTTTTATCTCCTTCTTTTTTTATTTCTTGCACAGTGTAAAGTACTGTTGGTAACACAAATGGCCATTTGCTTTTATTTATTCCATAGGTTTTAATCCCATCTAATAGCCTCAGTTGAGAGTGAGTCCAATTGTGCTAGATGCTAGATGTGCAAAGGAAAGGATATGTATATAGTTATATATAAGACTGAGAAAGGAAACACGAAGTGGCTGGCCCAAGGTTTTTAAGTCAGACATTGCATCTACATTTCCTAAAAAGATTATGTGGAAAAGTTGCTGTAATGGAAAATGAGGTTGTAAATGAGGTTAAATTTTTGATGGGAGAATGAGAACTTTTCATGAGAACTTTTCTCCTTAAGAAACTGAAACCTTTTTATTTGAAAACAAAAGTACTTTGTTTTTTGATGAGCTTCAGTTTTCTAAGACATTTTGAGTTACTTATTTACCATTTTAAAAATAAGATTATCTTTAGTTAATAATGACCTTTTCTAAGCAAGTCCAGAAGCACCTGAAGGCTCATTTAGTTTCTGTAATCTTACCAATTGGTCTAAAAAAGGTATTGCCTCTGCTAATGGACCTTATTTTTTCTTTTTTGAGGCTATCATCTATAGCATTATATAGGATGCTAGATCTTGGTTGTTTCTATTGTAAGTTTTTCTCTCCTTTTAGAACTGAACAGCTATTCTTGATGTGAAATATATAGTAAGTTTTGAACAGAGTAATTTACGCTTTCTTATTTACTAGATTATAGATGTAGGTGAGATCGTTCATGTTGTTTCAAGTTGAAATGCATTAATTATATCACATAACATTCCTTCTGGGAGCGATGGTGCAAGATTTCATGCAGCTGCTAATACCTTTCATGCCCTGGGCTCTGCATGTTTCCCCTACCAATAGCATTTCTGACCCAGGTGGCGCCAGCCATACCCAAAACTGCAGTATTCATTGTAACCGAACATAATTACAGTGATTTAGTTAAAGACAGATTTTTTTTTTTTTTTTTATTTCAGTAGCTTCTGTAATGATAAGAAATTACCTGAAGGTACTGATATGCAGTGTTAAAGAGGGGAGTGGAATTTAATGTTTGGCTTTGGTATTGCATGCTTCCGTCCCCTAACAGCCTCGTTCACCAGCTTTGCTGCTGCTGCAGTGCCAGACCAGCCAAAAATTTGGATTTTGGGGTTTTGCGCTTGAAAGTCATTATAGTAAACTTGTGTCTGTGAGAGAGAGAGCGTGTGTGTTGCTCCGTACCAGTAAGCGGTACAGAATTAATTTGGGAAGCAGGGCTGCCTTGAGGTATGGATTCATAGCACTGGGATCCCAGGCTCTGGATTCCGGAGGGATCCTTCAGTCGGTGCTCGGTTAGCCGTCTTCATTGCACGTGCTGCATGGGGTATGCGCTTTTGATCTGCCCGCACGCAGCAAGGCTGGACTGTAAAGTGAATCTGGTCTCAGCATGTGAGCACAGGCTGTGCATAGATACACCCAATCATCCTTAGTGCTGGCAAAATCTCACCTGTCTGTCCTCCCTCCTGAGAACAGGAAAAATCTGTTGCATCTTCATCTGGTATGAAGCAGTGTAGAGTTACGATCTAACTTCTCTCAGGGCCACATCCAAAATGCAGTGAACACAGCTGAAAGGTTTGACATTAGTACATTTTGCATTAAGCCACAGCCAAGAAACTAGCCCAGTTTACCAGGATATAAACACTAAGTATTTCTCTTGGTATAAACTTCTTGTCTCTTGGGACATTCAAGTCCTGCTCATTTAAATGGCCACTGTCTCAAGGAGCTTCTGGAATGGCAGAAGCATTTAAGGCAGAAATCTTATTTCCCTAAGCAGGATATGTGATTTGAGAAATCATCTTCTTCAGTGCGAATACAAAATGAAAGTGGACTATCACGATTGTAATTCTAAATTCAGTTTCGCTGTCAACGCGATTCTGAATACGTATCTGCCAATTCCTGCTTATGTATCTGAAAGGAAATATCATTACATTCCTGGACTGGGTCTTCAAAGGAATTTCCTTCTGCTCCAGTAAATGTGAAGATTTGTGAGTGGTTTATTTGGAAAATAGGATGTTGTATTTGACTTAGCATAGATAAGCATTGCCCCATGAAACAAAACTCTCATCAGTCATGATTAAATCTCTCCTTTTCAGGGCAAGGGGTTAACCTTAAGCTTAACATTTAAACAGAAACACTGACTGTCTTGAGAAGTGGATGGCATCCAATGACTTGTGGGGATTTTTCAAAGCTATTTCTTTTACGTTTCTTTTTCACAAGTATTTCTAACTTGTTTACAGAAGCAATCAAATTAATCACTGCTAAAATATGGAAAATAGATGAATGGGTGAAATACTACATATGTAGGGGATTTTTTGATGGTAATTGCTTCCTCTTTGAAATGAATGCTCTGATGTAAGCAACTCCACTGATATCAAAGAAAATATTTCAAAGTCAGCTAAAATCCATTTTCAAAAGAGGCATACATCATAGAAATTTTCTGCTAAGATCAGCAAATGCATTTGAACATTTGATTGCATATTTTTATTGAGCTCTCTGTTGAATAAAATGGCATGTACTTTAAAAAATACATTTGGCATTGTTTGGTATTAATAAGTTTCTCAGCTGCCTCTCAGCTTTGCCTTTTCATATTGGATTTCACTAGAAACTTTAGGTTTCAGTGGAATCTACTTGTCTTTCCTAGAATATTTCACAACTTTTGTGATATTAAATATTTTTTCTGCTGCCTTTGTCACTGCCTTCCACATTTTTGGTAGGATCACAGTGAAAGAAAAGAAACTTGGAACTTAGACCCACATTGCATTTCATGTGACAGGGAATCGTATTAAAGTGTGAGAGGAAAACGCTTTCTTATTTGTTATGCTTCTGTTTTTACAACCTCATATTTTTTCACTAAAGATTGTTGTGATAAGGGAGAATGAGAATGAGACATTAGACTGGCCTTCATTTGAAATCAAAATTTTGACTGCTGCACAACCTAGGAGATGTTCCTGTTGGTTATTTAGCTTCCCATTTAACTAAAATGTCTTTGCTTGGACAGAGGTTTCATTCATTTATGTTTATTCATCCTCTGTTTCTGTTCAGGTGGAGATTGCCAACTAAGCACAATTTTGTTTCTTCTTTTGTAGACTGGGTGGAATTCAGTCCCTATGAGATCGGTATGGCAAAGTATGGCACTTTTATGTCTCCTGATTTGTTTGGAAGCAAATTTTTTATGGGGACAGTGGTGAAGAAGTATAATGAAAATCCCTTGCATTTCTTGATGGGTGAGTATGTGACAGAAAGAGACTTTAAAATAAAACTAATTTCAGTAGTTCATGGGCAAAGGCTTTTACATGCAGTCACACAAATTGTGAGACCAGAAGTAGAGTTCTCAGTTTGTTGGAAGACATCCATTTGAAAGATTTCACCGACATGGATGGGCATTCCCTGTTTTTTTGCTTCTGGTATGTACATCTGAGCTTATGACTTAGCATGTTCTAAAAATCAGAGGTGTATTCAGAGAGCAAGCAACTGCTTAAATAGTGCAGTATATGGTGGGGTTTTTTCTTCTACCAGCCTCCATTCATTGTTTACTTCTTCCCTTTCAGGTGTCTGGGGCAGTGCGTTTTCTATATTATTTAACAGAGTGCTTGGCGTCTCCAATTCTCAAAATAAAGGTCCCACTATGGAAGAAGAATTAGGTAATATTAGTAAATATTTCTTCTACTATGCAAAACAATTACTAGCAAGGTTCAGTGCACTCTCACTGTGTGGAAGGATGGCACTCTGCTGGTAGTCTTTTTAACCATGTGGAATTCAAGTGACTTTAGTTGCTGACATTGCTAGAATCCAATGATTTGAAAGAGGGTTAGTAATTTGCTTTTCTTTCTTTCACTTTTGTTTCTCATCAGTGTCAGCGGTACCGAAAGTCGCGTGCATACATCCAACTATTGGATTTCACTAGAAACTTTAGGTTTCAGTGGAATCCAATTGTCTTTCCTAGAATATTTCACAACTTTTGTGATATTAAATATTTTTTCTGCTGCCTTTGTCACTGCCTTCCACATTTTTGGTAGGATCACAGTGAAAGAAAAGAAACTTGGAACTTCCATCAGGAAGTCAAAAGAATCCAACTCCCTTTCTTATGTTGTTACGCTAGTTTTTAGAGATCAGAAGCTGACAAATACTTGATAGTTACTTGTGTAGTCTTGACACTGGACTGTATTATTTATTAGTAAAGTAAAACCAAATTTTATCGTCTCTGGATTGTTAGATTGTTCCATTGTAACCACAAGTCACCTGTTGGTTTCTGATCGTTTGCTTACTAGCAAATGATTTCGATTTCATTCCTAATGCACAAATGGCATAATGACTGTAAGGAAGGAGTTGTAGCGTGGTTTGGATAGACTTTATTGTGTTTTATTTGAGAATGCAGTTGATAATGAAAGGGGTTTTTACTTTTTGGCATTACAGGGAAATATATAACCAATAAATAAATTGTACTAGACAGCCAGATTTTTCTGAAAAGCATGGAGAGAAAATGCAGAATGAGTTGATTTAAAAAAAAACAACAACAAACCCCCAAGCCCTTTAGCTGTCTCTGACTCCTAAGAGATGGTATTCAGCTGTTTGATAATGTACTTATTTATGGATGAAAATGAGACCTGCGCCTCCAGTTTCATATTTTTGGTACACCTCATGAGTGTTAACACCTACTAACGGAAGATCTCTGTCAATAAATTTGATAGTGGAAAAGTCTGTGTTACTGCTTTTGAAGATGTTGAGAGACAGAGTGTTATCTCTCATCCGTGGCTCATTTCACATGTAATTTAAAAAGCATGCTTAGAAGTGGGATTAGATCTGAAAATACTAATGTGACTTGAACCACAGGCTGTTACCAGAGCTGAAGGTGTCCCAGTGAGACCTCGGTACCACCAAAGTGAATGCCAAAATGCCAGTGGATGTCAGTGTTGGACACAGCATGTATCAATCATGCTTAGGGCAGTAAATGATAAATTTTGCATAGGGGTTGCTTTAAAGAGATGATTTGTTGGTTTTGTTAGCTTCCTTTCGTGGTCACTAATTTTTTTTTTGACCTGTCTCCTATGTCATCGCTCAAGAATTTGTACATATTTGGTTTTGGTGCATGTTTGTCCATTGATGATATTTGAGTAGTGACTGAGGACCCACTGAGTATTATAAAGAAAAAGTATTTAAGGAAAAATATGTGATGACTAAGTTCTTCTGAGTCTGTGGGGATTTTTAGTGTTGTATGTAATCCAGGAGGGCATAGTCCTCTTCAGAAAAAAGGCAACAGTGGTGGCCAGCTGTATCCAGTGTTCATTACCAAGGGTAATAGAGCTGTGGATTTTACACTGGATATTATGGTGACTCTGTCTTCAATCTTCTCTTTCAACCAGGAGTAGTTATAGGAATTAGATTTAGACTTCAGCAAAAAGTGCAAAGTGTAATTGCTATTGTTTTGATCCTGCGTTTGGTAGAAATGACAGCATCTGTTGGGAATTACATTCCGAAGCAGGGGTATGCCACCAGAGACCAACATCTACGTTATCCTTCTGTGAGAAAAAAGTAGATTTTGTTTTATTTTCGTTTTTTAATCAAAAAAACAATTTGTTGATAATACATTCATTAGGAAACAACCTTCATTCAGTTTGTTTTAACTGGCTTCAAATTTCAATTAGAGATGATTCCTAGCGTACATTATACTGCTGAATAAAGGGGTTTCGTGTTCAAAAGTCTTCTCTTGGATACAGTTGCATCGCTGGACATCCGTCCCTGTTTCCATCTCTGTAGGATATAAGCTTCCAAGATGAGGCTGCTCATAAAACATTGCAAATCTACTGTATTGCAAGAAAGGCTTCCCTCTGTAACGAGCCTATAATCCATTTTCACATGAATTCACCTCCACTGCAAACCTTACCTGAGTGGGATGTGTTGCTTTTTCGGTGCTCATTTTGACTTAGAAAGAATTCCTTGAGATAGTAATGAACAGTTAACAATGCCTTTGTGGTTGTTTTGGAAACCAAACTGTTAACCCTAACAAAATGTGGATTTCTGCCAGAGAAGTTCACTCATTTCTGGTTTTATTTCTCTCAATGTTATGAGATGAAAACCATTGTCTTTTCTAACCGCGTAACTGCATTGGCCTTTATTTTTCACACATACGCCAGCAGAACTTTCGTAACCATCTTGGCTTTTGATTTTCCCCACTATTTTTAAGAGTACCCATTCATATATGTATAAATGAGGTTAAGTGTTCCTCTTTTTTTTTTTTTTTTTTTTTTTAAATTAGCAGGTAATTATTAGAAATTAACGTTGTCTTCCTAGTTCACTAGGAGTTATTGAGAGGACAGAAGCTATACATCTAAATTTTATTCAAGGTGAATGAAATGTGTCGAATCTGTGGTGCAGAGTTGAGTGGTAGGAATTGCTTTAGGATTACATTTTGTTTTCTCGAACAAATGGCTAATCTCCTTAGGGTGGGAGCTTTGCAAAAATTGCAGGCTAAAGCCAATATAATCTGATCAGATTCTGACCATAGAGGTGTCCACAGAGATCAAATCTCTTCAGCTGGATTTTCTATTATGAAGACTATGATAGTTTTATGACTCAAATTTGAAATTCTTAGCTGTTCCAATAATTAAAGCCTGGCAATTTAAAGTAATTTTATATTTCTTTCAACAGAAAATATTAGGCTTAAGCACCTTGTAAGCAATGATAGTTCAGACAGCGAAGATGAATCACAGCATCCAAAAGGTAAGGAAATCCTCACATTTTATTTCACAGCGTACTTTGTTCATCAGCTTTCACATAGCATGGTCAAGTTTGTGGATGTTGGTGACTAGCCATAGCCGGTTTTCCTTAATCTTACCAATAATCTCTTACAACGGAGAGCTCTGCTCTCATTTGTACCAATGGTAACACTTAATTGCCTACCTCAAGGATCTTAAAGGAGCCAGTGGCTCAGCAAAATAGAGAAATGTTGAACAAGAGACCTCAGGAGGGCCTTTGGCTTGACTTCATTCCTCCGGCTCAAGCTGATGATCAAATGATTCTTTCACACGTCTTCAGTCTTGGCATCAGCTCAGCAGGGCTTCACAAAGGTCTGCAGTTTCACATACACCCAGAAATTAGGCTTGCTGAGCCAGTAATCTCCAGAAATCTGTTGCCAGCAAGCTACTGAGCTCAGAGCCATGTTCAAATTGTTGTCAGCCCAGCAAACGAACACTGTCTGTTGTTTTCAAGGGTTCCTTGATCAGATAATAGTTTGTATTTCCAGCATCCACAGCTGCCATCTGATCAGGACATCAATGACATCTGATAGAGGAAGTTCCTAGTGGTTGGCACAGTGTTTTAAACAGTGCCCAGATCCAGTTTCCCAGAAGAACACTGAGCAGTGGGAAGAAAAGATCCTATTGAAAATTATCTTTAGGCACCTAACCCACCTGAGGATTTCTCTGAATTTAGTCAGTGTCTCTGTCTCGTCCTAATAATGGTTTCTGTATTGGGTGATACACACAGGGATTATGTTTTTAACAATTAAAGCAAAGATGGGAATGCAGCTCTGTAACTTTAGGATCTACAGGAAGAAAAGAAAATCTTGTATGATGGGACAGTGAATTATGTCATCAGCTCAGTTAAATGATTACTTCTTCAATTCCCCTTATGTGTAAAATAATAGGGAGAGGGCAATACCACATTTTGTATTTATTTGTGGGTTTCCTGTTTAAGCACAGTAGCCAGCATGAAACACTGCATTTTTCTCATAGTTTGTAGCCATAGTGGACAACCTACAAATCTGTGATTGTAAACACTTGGTAATCCCTCTCACTTCTATAGAATATTGTTGTACAGATGTTGGACCTCTAAACTTTGTGGTGTTTGATGCTTGTTTTCTCTCTACTTACATAAAAATGAGCTCCTTTAAAGCCTGGATTAAAGAAACACATTTTAGTGCTGGATTTAAAGTATGAAGCCTGAGCCTGAATTACCTCCTTATACAAAACACCTCAAAAAGTTGGGTTTTGACAGTACAAATGCAAGGTCACGCCAATCCAAGTCATTTTTGCTGTGATGTCTAGCTGTAGACATCTAAGTTGGGATAGTTCATTGTACTCTTTAGTTAATTAAAACCAAATATTGATTGTAGTCTACAGTTGACTGAAAGCTAATTTTCAGATATTTTAGAATTCCCATACTATAGCATTCTCTTTTGTGTAGACTGACTTTGCCTTCTTAAGGAAAGCTGGGTTTCTAGCAGTCAGCAGAGGATGGAGAAGGATGTCAGTACACATCAGATGAATTTAGGTCTATGTAGAGTATGGATCTTGGTGGCTCAAGTCTGTCTCCTGAGTCCAGGAGTTTGCGTTTTGGGTTTAGCACAGATAAAGCCATATCCTCACTGCCCTTGCCATCCAGACCAATTAAGTCCGGCTCAGATCATCTAACACATTCCCAGTCTGCTTTCCTGATGGACACATCCGCACTACACAATTTCACCGTGAAGGCAGGAGGATGGTTTCTCTCCATTCCTCTAAACGTTGAGTCCACGGCTCCTTGTAAGAAGGCTGTGAGCCAGTTCCTTTGATTTTAATAGGTCCTTTATTTTAGTAGACCCAGAAATCTTGGGTTTATACTTTATATGTTATTTTAATTTTCCTCTGCAGGCACTGAAAATACTGAGGCAAATCAGGAATATCAGAATAGCAGCCAAGAAAGCTGGGTGCAGCGAATGCTGATGGCTTTGGTGGGTGATAGTGCCCTTTTCAACACCAGGGAAGGGCGTGCCGGGAAAGTGCACAACTTCATGCTGGGATTGAACCTCAACAGCTGTTACCCGCTCTCTCCTCTGGCAGACCTCCTCACTCAGGAGTCCGTGGAGGAAGATGAACTAGATGCGGCCGTTGCAGGTTAGTTCGCAGAAAGCCTATGTTGCTGCCTATGCATTAGTAAAACCAGAAGCAGCGAATTCTCAGTGTGGTAACGTCGAGCCGTGAGGCTTACAACAGCACGTACCTGAAGGCAGGAGGTTTCTGTAGCAGCAATCGTGAGTATTGATCAGCAGCAGAGGTTGTCGGCTGGCTGCGTGTCTCAAAGGGCACTGCAGAGTGTGTTCTCTCTGCTGCCTACCTCCCGTGTCCCCTGGCAGAGTGTGCAGAACAGTCAGTACCCTTTGGAGGGGAAGTGGCCCTTTGTTTTGGAGGAATTGCTGGCAGCGGTGACCAAGCTGCTTTTGTGTATGATGCCCTTCGTTAAGGCCGCTTTCTCACTCTCTTGGACTTCTCCAGTGGGTATCCTGTGTTGTTCCTTTTCTCTTGTTGGTGCTAAGCTTCTGGTGGAAATAGAACTTTTCCTTGTCTTCCTACAGGGCTTCCCTGTTCCAAAAATTTTGTAGCTCTTCCGCTTCTGTTGCCTTTGGAGGCAAGACAGTTCTGTACATGTAGATCCTTGCTTTGCTGACACCGTGTTCTTCCCAGTGTGACTGATGTGTCAGGTGCATTCGCATTTCACATGTGACTGATGTGTAGATGCATCTACGTTTCATGTTGGCATAAGCAGGAAGCAGGACTGTGGACGGAAAATGAGAATTTCAGAAAAAAAGTTAATTTGCAAAAGAAGTTCAGTGTCTTCCCCCACTCTATGAAGTGTATGGTGTCTGGGGCAGTAGCTGCAGATAATTAGGAATCACGTTCGATTAGTATTTTGGAGATTTGCAGTAGACAGTGTTCATTGCAATCTTCTCAAGGATAGCCAATGAATTTCTAAGCATTCTTCTGGCACTGGTGCTTTTTTTTTCCTCCTCAGGAGGCAACAGAGCACTGAGTTACGGATGCGAGTTTCCCTATAGAAAAGTTATGTCACAGTGAAGACGCGTATTTAGTGGAGCCCCCACATACTGATTCTGTGATACAAACTATAATGGTTCTGGATTATTATGGGTTATTACTGACATCCATCAAACCGAGGAACCACAACTCTCTGACAGTGGTGTTCCTCCCATGTTCTCGTGTAGCGGCACAGCGCTGCCAACCATCCCTCGTCATCATAGTGGTCACTTCAGCCTGGATTTTCTATGCAGAGGAAAGAGATTATCCTAGCTGGTGATTACGCAATAGTAAATACCAAATGTCGTTTAAAAGCTTAAGTAGCAGACGCGTTCTAATGTGTATTTGTTAATGTAACAAATCCCTTCGAGTGGTTTTATAATAATTTCCATCTGCACTCCACTTTCCAAATATTTTTATCATCTCAGAGGTGTTTACAGCTGGGTAATCTTAATATTTATAGTAGTTGTAAAAGAGGCAGGAAAGTGGGTAGTAAATTTATGGTTGGAAAAAATGACATTTGATGAGAATTTTGCATAATTAAGACATGTGGGTAATCTTCAGAATCAACTATCAACTTCCTGAGTTTTAATTTCAGTGGAAATAAAATTCAGAACGAGCCTGCACCTTTGAGACAATTACTTTTGAGTGCCTGAAATTTCTTTGGGTAAAATGTCTGGCAAAAGTTTGACATAATTGCGTTTTTTTAGCATTAGCTGAAGCCCACACTCATAAACCTGAACTAACAGCTCAAATCTAACAGCTATGAGTAGTTGCAATATTATGGTAAAGAATAGTAAAAAAAACCTCTGAAATTTCAGTAGTTAATATAAAATTCAATCATTTGGTAGTGTGATAAGTGTATTCACATTTTAATGCTGTGAATTTTGCTGATACATATAAGAGCCTCGGTGCCCAGAGGAGTAGATAGAAATGAAACTTTGGTGTAACTGTAAAATACTGTATATTACCAAGGCACTGGGTGCATTTTTAGCTTTGCACGTTTTTTCCTACTGCTAGGAGTTTACCTATCAACTTGAGTACAAAGAGAAGTCTGAATTGCTTTAGGACTTGCTTTCTCTTTATTACCACACACTCCAAAAGAGAAATAAATGAATCAAACCCGATATAAATAATACTTTACATCTCCAGTTGTCTCAAACCTTCTGTAGACCCACTGGGTTGCGCTGCAGAGGATGAACCTAAGCTGATGTTGCAGTCATTACTGAGGATTGAATTTAGGGTCTGCAGTGCATTCAGCAGAGATCCCAGCTGCTTGATCTGAAAGTAAAATGCTTGGCTTCACTTTGCTATGGATTCTATTTCTGCTGAGCATTTTCTTAGTTCATCTCACATATGCTTTAAAACTTTCCACCCCTAGAATTTCATGGTGAACTCATTGTGTTTCTATGCCTTGATATTACAACACACCAAAATCACTTGAGAAAATGCCAAGTGAATAACAATAGGGAAGAAATAACTCATAATCTCTGCTTCCTTATTTCAGTAGTTATGGAAACTCTGTTAGAGTAGACACACGTCAGTAGCACATGCCCTTTTCGTCTCCCTTGCTTCCATTGAAGCTGCCATCTGTGACAAAGTTTGGTTTCTAGAACATGTTCTCTTTCTTATTTCCAAAAAATTCTTTGTATCCGTTTGTATATCCTATTACTGCGAATGAGATAGGCATGCTGTGTGGGTTTCACACAGAGCTGTACTCGTAAACATCTTGTGCTTCTCCCAGGTTGCATTTGATGGACTGAAAGCTTCTCGTAATATGGACGCATCTTTCATAAAAGCTGTCTGCATGCCCTGAAAATTAATGTCCCAGGCTCTCGGAGCATAAATACTCCATTCAGTCTTCATACTGTTTGATGAATAATGATGGATTGACTTACTGGGGCTCCCAGAATATATAGAATGATTGTCCTGGATTCATGTGTTGTAAAGTATAAAAAGAACAAAGGTTTCTCATCCGGCCTTTCCAAATAACTACAGTGTAGGCTATGGAGCAGCCGACGCTTCTTTTAGCATCGAGGATGCTTACTGTCCACTACAGCTCTCCCAGGGGCAATTGCAGGCTCCCTTGCAGTGTCCTGACTCACCGGTCAGTCTGCCTGCTTGCCTCGGCTCACCAGGGTATTGCCTGCTGCTTCTGGCCTCTGGCTCCGGATCCTCGGTAAATCGAATCAAATTACAGTCTGAGTCTGCTTTTAAGTCATCTCGTTAAAATAACACTGGGTTATCTTCATTGCTTTTTGAATTCTGACCCTGTAACACGGACACAAGTTACATTTGGGAACTTTTCTTCTCAGTTCAAAGATTAGAAGTGTACTTCTAAAATTAGTTATAACAAAAAGAAAAACCTTTAAGTTGAGTTTCTCCTGTAATTATGGAAGTCCATGACTAACAAAAACAATCTATGTGGTCATTATAAATTTATTGATGGCAGTATGATGTTTCATCATTTAAAATGTCGTAAAACTATTATGATAAATTTGATGATAGAGTCATGAAGGCGCTAAGCAATAGGAACTGTCTTGTTCTCCAGTGCCTTGTGGAAGGAATTTTGTGTATGCAGAACACTCCTATCACAAACATTATTGTAGGTGGTACAAGTCTTGTTTAAAGGACCACTGCTGTTTTTCAGGTCCAAATTTTGTAAAATAAGATAATACAAAACTTGAACGAAAATGTTTATGCAATTTCTAGAAATTATGTTGAGAACAAAGGTTAAATTATATTTGAAATATTGTCTTTTAAAAAGGAGAGGAAAACAAAACTGGTTTATTTGTGCTAAAAGGATCTGTAGTAAGTGTATTTTTTCCCAGTGTTTTTTTAATGATGATGAATTTGATAAACACTACTATATTTTCACTGATTTATGCAAATTCATTGATTTATGCATAAAATATATCTGGTTCTAAGATCGGTCTTGTAAACATACGTAGCCCTTTAGCAATAGGCAACAATGAGAAAGTGTTTTCTCCCTTAGAAATCCAGATAAATATTAGGAAACTGGTGCCTCATTTCTTAACAAAGTGCCCTCTAATAAATAATAATAACAATAACAGAAATAAAAAGACAAAATACCTGTTCTGAGATTTTTTTTGTTACTCATAACAATATTTTTTCCTCATGGATCCTGAAATGATAGGAACTACAGTTTGAATTCTTTCTGATGGATTTTCTTCACATTAAAATGCCTTTTTTCAGGTTACTTCCATCACCAGTAAGTAGGTGCTAGGAAATTTAATTATACAAGAAATAATTACAGTATTCTATTCATCATTCCTTGGATTACACTGCCCCCTACAGATATTAGCATTGTTTTTTAGTCAAAAGGTAAAAACATGCACAGGAAATATTTTTAAGGTCTAGAGCAAGAAAAAACTGTCAGGAGAAAAGAACTGCAGGGATCATTTATTAGTATCCAGAGACTTGGATAAGTGCAAAGGCACTTTGGGAAAATGAGATGCACCCAGCGAATTTTAGGGTTAAAGGGGAAATACCATCTTCTTCAGCCCTCGGTTTGGGCATCGGAGGTAGGAGACTAGTTTATGCTATACAGGAGTAGCAGTAAGTGGCTTACGTGTAATTCTACCCAATGCTTAAACTTCAGATACAGCTATGGGTTACCGTTCCTTTCTGTGCCCAGTCCAGTAGTGAGTATGAGGTCGTGAGATTTGGTGTAGGCTGAAAAGCAAGTGATGTGACTTGGCTGTCCGAATTCTGATGAACAGAAACATAGACAAGCATCACGCAAGAGCAGAGCCACGTTAAGGCTTTTTAGGCAAATTTCAGTTATTTGGGGAAGAGGAACTGGGAAGGTCAAGGGGGGTTGGGAGGGAACCTGGGGGAAGAGTTTTGGGCAGGAGTTGTAGGACACTGAGGGGATGTACGTTAGGAGTCTCTCTCTTCACGTCTCATAAACACTTTCCTTTGCGTCTAGGTTGTTAGGGATGAAGGGGTAAAGCTGGCAAGGCTGGGGTGCAGCCTGGGCATTTGTCCCCTTTGGTTATGTCTGGAGCCACCCCTGCTTCTGCCTTGGGACAGGGCACATGTGTACCTCACCTACGGAGGTCCCTTCCAGCTCTGCTTTTTCCCCCTCATTCTCCAGTTGTTAAGATGAGAGTTAAGGTTACGCATGATGAGTTCATGGTATGTTTAGCTGGGATGCTGTATACTTTAAATTCTGTGGAAGCTTCAGTGCTTGAGGAAACACTGGAAAGCCCATCACAATTTCAGTTCTTATTCCTGTTCTGTTTTGTTTTTGTTTGCTCTGCACAGATCCAGATGAGTTTGAGAGGATATATGAGCCACTAGATGTGAAGAGCAAAAAGATTCATATAGTGGACAGTGGGCTTACGTTTAACCTGCCGTACCCACTTATCTTAAGACCTCAAAGAGGTGTTGATCTCATCATCTCTTTCGATTTTTCAGCGAGGCCAAGTGATTCCAGTCCTCCTTTCAAAGTAAGTAAGACAGGCTGTTCCCTTCTTTGTGTTCATAAATTTGACTGAGTTGTATTCTTCCAGTCGTGTTGGTTGCACATTTCATGGTTCTAGAAGGCCTTAGTGCTGTTGTATCAACAGCATTGGAGCAATTTCTTTCCATGTCAAGGCAGAATATTACACTCTGCCTCAGTTCCTGTTTACATGACTCACGTGAGACAGCTGACACAAAGAAGTCTAATATAATTTGTTTGAAGTAGTAGCTCTGTTGTTTTTATGGAAATCTTGGCTTCACACTAAATTGCAGAATTTTACTTTATGTCACTACTAAACAATTAAGTCATTTGCCATTTTGCTAGCTCTCCAGTTCCGTACAGCTGTTTTCCTCTGTGATGTAAATGCATGGTTTTCCGTCATCATCTTGCAGAAATGTGTCTTCACTCAGTCACTCTGCTATTGCTAAATATATAACATTTTGGAAGAGGGGCTAACAGTTGATTTACATCTCACTAGGATAATCCCAGAACTGGTTTAAGTAGGATTCCTAAATCCATTCAGGCCAGAGCAAAGCAACCACAGAAGAATAGAGATTAAATGACGTTATTTTCTGTAGAAGGTGTGGAAAGCACAGCTGTTACTCTGTACGACCTGTACAACCTACACAGCCAGACAGCTCCAACTGATCACAAAAGTTTAATGTTGAATCATTTTGGTAGCTAACACAGAAAAAGCAGCACTAATGAAACCATTGTGAGGTATTAAAAAAAGAGGCAATATTTATTTGAAACCCTAGTGTATATCATAAAATAACCAAGAAGACATGTCTGAGAAACAACTGGCATTTTTTTCCTTCCTCTTGCTATCAAGGGACAAAATTGCAAAACAATGTTAGAAAATAGCATCAATAGCAAAGTGAACTCTAGATCAGCGTTGTCAAATGCAAAGGAAAACAAGCTTCATGAGAATAAAAAGGAGTAACTTCTGTAATCTCTAGGTCTCTTAGGGACTCCCTGGAAGAGTAGAGCACTGAGAAGACTCGTACTAGTGCCGAGATCCTTAATTTTTCTTTAACTGACTGAATCCCACAGCCTGTTTCTTCCTTTAATTTTCTATTTGTTTAAGAATTTGTCTCCTTTTTTGTCATGACAGAGTATTTTGTCCATCAGCTAAATTTACTGACACAGCACTGCCGTCTCCTCTGAAACATCTTTTTTTTCCTCCCTGTGCTGTGTTCTGCACGTGGAGTCTGCGCAAACGGCTGTGTCTCGTCTCTGTTACTCTTAGCCAGTGCACTGAGCTTTCCGTCTCCATCAGCTGCAATTTTCTGTTCCATTTTGGGGAACATAGGATAACGTGGAGAGATTGATTGGAAGTCAAGTGGTGTCCTGAATGTTTTTCTGTAAACTCTTAATTTCCAAAAGGCAAAATCCTTTTACGCAAGAAAAGATGGTGGGAAAATTAAATGGCGCCTTAGGTTTTCATGAAGCCACTGTTGAAGGGAACGGTTCATTATTTCCTAAGCGCAAATATGTGTATATTACAAAGAGTGACGTACCTCCAGCTAATGCACAGGTACATCCCACAAGCAGAGGCTGTGTGCTAATGGCCTGAAGGACAGAAACCAGTTTTGTTTGCTGGCTGTGCAATCCCATGGTTCTGCTTGCATTGCAAGGAGTAAATGCCAGTTCAAGAGTTGGCCTGTATCTATGGTAGAGCTCTGATATACTTTTATTACTCCAACACGTAGGGAAATCAGCCAGCTGAAGTCAGTAACTCTACTCTTGGTTTATCATTTTACACCCACTATCTTTTAATCTTTTCCGTATCCAAAACAGTTGCACAAAGAAGGGTCCTGTTTCATTCAAAACCAAGATTAAAGATGTTGTTGACCTTCCCTCTCACACACCCTCATTACACGCTTTTGAGTCATTATTTACAAATTATTTTGTTTACTGAGTTGTCACGAGGAAAAAAAGGCTTGTTTTCCAGACTTACTTATTACTTAGCATGCTTTCAAATGCTGGTCTGCGCTGTGATGTGACTCCGAACATAACAACGCGTGATTTGTGTTTATTAACTCTCCTTGGTTTCCATAGCACTGATACTCAGTTTTGCAAGTAAAATTACGGATGGGTTTTTTCTAGCTGTCAGCTCTGTAAATTCACCCCAATATTTATGTGACAGACCAGCTCTTTCCTTCCTGTGAATCATCGCAGGTGGTGAAGATTGGGCAGTGCTCAGTTTGCCATACTGGGTCATCTAGACAAAGATTGACTTGATCGGGTCTTCTGCCGTAACTAAGCGTGAGTTCATAGAATCACAGAATCACAAGCTCGTTTGGGTTGGAAGGCACCTCAAAGCCCATCTAGTTCCAACCCCTGCCATGGGCACGGACACCCTCCACTAGCCCAGGTTGCCCAAAGAGTTAATAAAACTGCTTCTAGTAACCGATTTGACCCGTGTCTCTAAAGATAATCTCACTTCACAGTGGATGCTTATATGCACCTGAGTCTTTGTTATCTTTCTCAGGAAATTTTGCTGGCTGAAAAATGGGCCAAAATGAACAAGCTCCCTTTCCCGAAAATAGACCCAAATGTATTTGATCGAGAGGGCATGAAGGAGTGCTATGTTTTCAAACCAAAGGATACCTCTTCAGAGAAAGACTGTCCAACTATAATCCATTTTGTTTTGGCCAACATCAACTTCCGGAAGTACAAAGCTCCAGGTGAGCACACAGTTTCTGATGCTAAAGCCAGCTTTCCCTTTGAAGCTTTATAATGACCTGGTGATTATATGCTAGAAATGTTTTGTCTCTGAAATAACTCTTTAAGTCTATCTGTAGTCATTAGAGATTTCAAAAGAGCCATTAAAAAATGAGGCGGTAAGTCCTCAGACCTAACATTTAGATTGTATTTTTGTTCCATATGCAGGCGTTCCAAGAGAAACACAGGAAGAGAAGGATTTTGCAGACTTTGACATTTTTGATGATCCAAATACACCGTTCTCCACCTTCAACTTCCAGTATCCCAATGAGGCTTTCAAGAGGCTTCATGATCTCATGGAGTTCAACACCCTCAATAACATAGATGTACGTATGCCAGTGTGGAAGGCGCTTAAAGGGTCTAGATTGTTAAATAGGAAAGTAGGTGATGCGGGGAAAGCCCTAAACCTGTCATACAGAAGGTACAGGCGTTTACTTCAGGGTTTGCCTGATTATTATGACATATAAAGTGCTTCCTGCATTTAGTTGTGCCCCTTGCTGTTCTCTGAATTGAGGCTGGATCAAAGCCCATGTATAGTCAGTGGGAAAAAAACCTGCTGTATTTTAATGAGAGCTGGATTGTACCCTAAGTAAGTTAATTTCTTTTTAATTTGGGTTTTTTTGGTCATTTTACCATCAAAAGTACTGCGGGGTAACTGAGCACAGGTGTCTGCACAGGACGTAGACATTATATTCAGGGCTTTATACTCAGCTCTTAAGGTATGCTGATTTTCTCACTGGAAAAAAAGGAAAACGGAAGATTTTGGTAAAGATTGTCAACTTACTCAGTAATAATTATTTTTTGTTGATACCAGCTGTAACACGAGACCATGATCCCAGCATCCATAGAGTCACTTGCCATATTCACAAGTGTAAATGGTCATCCCAGATAAATAAATGGGGTTTTTTTTCAATATAGCGAACAAATCTTGTTACTTCAGGACAAAGGAAGCAAATGTGGATATTTTCTCAAAATAATAGTTATTATCTATATCCTTTATGGATTTTCTCAATGTTTGATTTACCTTTCAGAATTACATTGGGACTTGGTTCAAATGGTGCATATTCTTGTGTGACTTCTTTGACAGTGGTATTCTGTCAAATCTTTATATATTAACCAAATTTAAATCAGTGTTTTATACAATCAAGAAAAGAGTATTTGTAGTAATACTCAGCAACCACTTTGTTCAATGATGGAGCAGTTGTAAAAGCAGGAGCAACAATTGTAACATCTGAGGGGGCCTTTTCTATCAGTTAATACATCATTAAAATATTAGTTATTTCCCTGATTGGCACGTTGTTTTCCAGGTGATCAAGCAAGCTATGATGGAAAGCATTGAATACAGGAAACAGAACCCATCTCGCTGCTCCGTGTCTCTTAGCAGTGTTGAAGCAAGCAGATTCTTTAATAAGAACAATCTTAACAACAACCATACGTAGAGGATGTGTCATAGGTCCCACTCCTTCAAGAAGCTGTTTCTGTTTTTATAACTGGAGTCAAAAAAACAGTATCAGAGCATCATGCTCCTGAACAGGATTGTGCAAAACTCCTGGAAACATTTTCTTGTGAATTTTCAAGTTTCAATATGATTTTGTACTTTTTTAAAAACTAAAAACATTGAAAACATTTCAGTATGCTGATATCCTTATTTTAAAAACTATTGAAATAATAGTTTATTTTGAGTATGGTCATTGGGTTCAGTGGTGTGGTTTTTTCCTTACAAAACTGTAAACACTGGTTTCTCGTAGTGGGGCAATGTCTGATTCGTAATTGATGTAAGCTGGGCATATCTTGAAACATAAGATGGAATTAGAAACACAATAGTCTAAAGCTTTAGTAACAGAGACGGTGTATGTATACCTGGGCTTGGGCCCAGATTCCACTCTGCTTTCTATCAATGACCTCTGACTTTGGTTTGAGAAGTCAGTAATTGCTAAGTTCTGCCAGACAACGGCAGCTCCCGCGTACGCTGAGTCGCTTGGCTGCTTGCTCGCTGTGTTAAGGTCGGTTTCTTCTCCTGGAAGGGGCTTTGCTCGCTAATAACCCCTGGCCACGCTGACCTAACCAAAACCCCATCATCAAGCTGTCTTTCAAATTTCACTTTTCTTGCATGAGTGGTGTCCCTTAAAAAAAAACAACAAACTTTGGATGTCAAAGAAATGGAATTTATACATCTTAGATGTTGGAAATGGGATCCTTAGCTGTTCGTTAATGCTAGTAGAGCTTTTGTAACTGATGCGAAGAAGGATCTGCTCTTTAATCTTTTCATCACAAATATTTTCACAAAAATTGAAGTCCGCTTTACTGCTGTTTAAGAATGCATTTATCCACTCAGCAGAGAATCCAACCTCTTATATTTTCTTTTTCTCTTTTGTTCCACAAAATTACATTGCTTGAATCCTTGAGCTAGTAGCGCCTGTGTGTTAAGTTATTGTTAGTTCATGTATTTCTGACCAAAATGTTTAAAAGTGATCTTGCGTTTGATCATGATCAAAAAAAGCATCACATTTCTGCAAGGGGACAGTGGCAATGTTTACTGGGGACAGATAAAGGGTTCCTAGGTAAGAATGTGAAGTAGTTCACGTGTTAAGGGCTCATTTTAAAAACCCTTTTTTAGTATGCCGAATAATGAAAGACCGTGTGTGGACATACATTGTTTCAGTACCATCTCAACAAGTGCTGAGGAAGCTCTGCAAAAGCATAGAAAATAGCAGTCGCACCTCCAAAAACTTCCGACCTCCTTTGAAATACGGTAATCGGACAGAGCAGAAGGAGCTGCCTTGGCCCCCGACGGCCTGGCGCTGCGGGACCTCGGCGTCACGCCTGCGGGGCGCTTGGCTGGCTGGTGCCCTTGTCATGAAGTTTGCGGGAAGCAGGTGGTAGAGGCCGCGTAGTTCAGTGCGGGGTGAGATTGCCGCCCCTGAGTTAATGCAGAACAGCGCAGGACGGTGTCTGCGGAGGTGAGAGGGGGAAAAAGCATCCCCGGCTGCCCCGCGGGTTGCTTGTCCGAGACGAAAAGCACACCCCTTTGGCCAGGCGCGTCGTCACGGCGGAAAAAAAGCACGCCGCAAGCAGGAGTACTTACGGGTTTCTCTGCAAGGGCTGTAAGCGGAATGTCGGTCTCGGGATCGCTGTTGGTGGCGGTTGGGGTGGGGTTTTACCCGCTCCGT